GTGGATGTCTTGTCTGGCGGGGCAGCGTGCTCGTTGCATGCCTCCTAAGGCGAAATGCCTGGAGAGTCTGAGAGGACCGGAAGACGTGACCGTCCTCCATGCACAAGTTCAGGCACTCTCTCGGTATGCCTGAAGGGTTCCTGAAGGTAGGACTCTGTGGGCGCCTCGCTGCAGAAGCGATTGTTTGTACAGCATGTGAGTCGCGGAGCCGATCTTTGTTGGGTGTTTCACATTGCAAATCCCTTAGGCGATTCTGCAAGAAGAAAAAAGTTCTTTCCTGCAAGAAGCCTTCGATGCGTTCGGTTTTGATCACAGCATGTTGCCGCATCGGACAGGCCCACAGTTCCGGCAAGGCAACGGTGGCTTGCGTGTGGAAGGCCTCGTGGGCCTTCACGAAGATTCATTCGCTTGCTAAGGCCTCTTCTTACCCCCACAGCCGAAGACTGTCACAGGCATTGGCAGAGCAGTTTTGCGTGAAGCTGCAACAAGATGGCTTGACGGTGTCGATTGTTTCGTACTCAGATGCGATGTAGCTGCTGAGCAGTCTGCAAAAGTTTTCGTCTTGGTTGCATTCGCCCAGGCTCCCGACTCCAAGTTTGAGGGAAACAAAGGTGGCCAGTAGCTGCAAGAGCTTCTCTTCTCACCAAAAATCTCCTAAGCTTCAGATGTGACGGTTGTGCCTAAACGTGTCTTCCAAGATGGATGGCACTCGGCCACAACATATGGTGCAAGCTGCAGTGTGAACCATACAGCAATGTCGGGGAAGTCGCAGTCTCGCAGAATACTTGTGCGATCATCCCATCATTCTTCTTCTGCTGCCTCAAATAGCTTGCATCATGAAGATGGACGAGGTTTGTTCTCGTAAGCGGTGCAGTGTACCAAGATCCCTTGCAGTCTAGAAGACAAGGGCAAAGCGCTCAAAAGAAAGAGAAGACAGACAGTGGCCAAGTGGTTAGATGCATGCTCTGGCTTGTGCGGCTACGAGACCTTCCGCGTCTACTCTACAGGATCTGCTTTGGCAAGACGTGTACAGGTCATGCTTCCGGCAGCTGCATTGTCTGGCATGTGCCGACCCTACACCACGTCCAGAAGTTCTCAGCGGATCAGCGGGGATGATCGCGCTTTGTAGTGATAAGGGCTTCGCCAGATCGAAGCTACGAGTCGATGCGACAGACTCTGCAGGACTGCAATGCGATGACGGCAGTGGTAGCGCTCAGAGTCCGGCGTCCCTCAGCGTCCTTGTGTTATGAGGATACACAGAAGCGATGCGAGCTGATGCTGACCCGAGTGCAGAAGGAAAGCGAGGCGCAAGAGCATAGGGCATGGAGGCCGTACGTCTTATGTACTGACCAGGAAAGTAAGCAAAAGAAACACAGAGACAGGGAGCGAGAGAGAGAAAGAGAGAGAGGCGAAAGAATCAGAGAGCGAGGGGTTGGCAGCTTTTCTCTTCCGGAGTCCAGAGAAAAGCGGCGCATAGCCATGTCGATCCACCGAGTGCTCCACAGGCGAATCGCGGCCTTGCCAAAGCTCGGGAGGCAGCTGAGGAGACATCGCGGAAGTTGTCTGATCAGGCAAGGTCGAAGAACGCTTGAACCACTCATTGTGTTACGGATTTAGTGTGAAGCATCGGTAGGTCAACCAGCTTACTGAGAAAGTCAGCGAAGCTGCGTTGGCCCCAGCAACCTCCAGCAACATCCCCTGTTGTGATTGCGTACTCGCAGATTCGGCAGAAAGGGAAGGCAGAAGAACAACTGGAGGCAGTGGTTGCACAGATCTTGTTTACATCACTGTTTGCGACTATGGAAACTCCAGTTATGAGCTGGAGCAGTGTGCGAACCATCCTTGGGTGGCCTTGCGTGAGCAAGGTGAAGCAAGCTGTTTGTGCCTGCAGGATGTGCAGAAGCGGTGCCAAATTGAGACAGACTTGCGCGAGAAGGACTATGGCTATGGCACCATTGTTTCGTGATCTCCCGCAAGTTGGGAGTACCAACATGCAAAGGTGCACCAAGGCTTCTGATGTCTGTGGTGATTGTATCTCAAGCAGAGTGTCAGCCAGGGTTAGGGAAACCTGCATGCATGTAGACAAAACGCTCTCAGCATCCAGCGACTCCTTGGATCAACCATCATACAGATGTTTGTAAGTGGCATTTGGTATAAAACGTGCATGCCACCATGATTCTCAAGTCCGCCGGAGAGCCAATATCGGAGCATGGGGCCGCACGGTCGACGATGCATCAGGGATGGTTTCTCTCTTGGCCGTTCTGGCGCGGGCAGGCGTGGCATGACTTTCTTGGTACTTGAAGGCGGTGTTGAAGTGATCTGAAGCAAGGCAACGAGGTATCTTCGACAGGCGATGCACGAGTTTGCTGCACCGGAACCATGCACCCAATGTCAATGGCATCTTGTTTACGTCGAGGCCAGATTATTACGATCGAGTCTTCGGTGATCTAGGACAAGGAGAGTTCCTAGAGTGGTACAACACGGACTTGCAGGTCGGGCCACGATCACGATGAAGCGCGGTTTCCCGAGCAGTCGCAATCCTGCTAGGATCTCAAGCCGATTCTGGGTGCGCACAGGGCTCGACGTGTCCTTGATCTGGGATGTGGTGGCCGGGACTGATGTCTGGGGAGACGGCAAAGTTCTCCATGTATAAGCGAGGCACTTCTCGTCTTCCCATACAGCTGGCGTATGCTAGACCCGCTCCACGCGTGGTTGTGGGATGTGATGCCTCTGTGGCAGCCATTGCCCGACAGAGGGTGCTGGTCTCAGCTCCTGCGCGCCATGCAGCCTCGAATAGTGCAACTAGCGTCTTGTCTGAGGGCATGGTGATGCAGTCACGTCGGCTGCTCGGAAGTTCTGCTTCGAATTCCTGGGGATTGTCCGTGCGCGTGCTCAGGCACCCCTGGACAATCTCGTTTGCTGTTTGTGGTCGCTGATGCGGCCAGGTGAGTCTGTGCATGGTTAATCTGCACTAAAACAGGTTTAGACGATTCTAGACGTGGACATACTTTCCTACTCCAGCCGGTGCTTTGCCAGGCTTCCTTTCCGCAACGGTTGCTTTGACCTCATCATAGAGTGCATTTCTGAGACACAGATGCCACGCACTTTTCGTTGTTCTCACGTGGCTGCGCTCAGGAAAGGCTTTCTAGACGCACTTCACTCCACCAGGCTCGTCTTTGGCTTGAATAAGCCCAGCTTGAGATCTAGGCCAGGGCTAATGAACATGCTGTGAGTTGCACTGCGCATCGCAGGCTGGGCGAGCGGCAGGTGCACACGGTGCTGACAGAGGCTCCGTTGGGTTCTTTCGCTCTCGTGGGTCCATTTCAAAGCCACGCGTATTTTCATTGCTGGACGCTTGACACATTCGGACAGCGAGAGCGAGAGTTTGTGTCTAAGAACTTCCGGGGCAATGCGATTTCACGAGCTGAGTCTGGAGCTGGACCGCCGCCCCGGCCGCCCCATCTGACCCGGCTCTTCCCTCTCCATGATTAGCAGCCGCTAGCGGCCGCTAGCGCGTCGATGCGTCTTTGGTTTCTGGTAGATTGGCACTTGACGTCAAGGGGTGCATGAGGGCTCGGCGATCGGGCGAAGTAATAAGCAACGCGCCACAGAAAACCTTGGTGCAGCTTTGATATCTGTGCCTGGTGCTGACTGTTCGTCATCTTCTGCATTCAGGCGTGGCGTGCGTTGGCTGCAGGTGCCACCTGCCTCGTGCGGGGAGTCATCGCGGTTCGGATGTCATCGTTGCTTTCGACAGGAGGATCGTTGATCTCAGTTTCGCAGCATGGCCAACTGACTCCATCAGACGAACGCCTGCAGCTTTTCAAAGAGGCAGCTGATCACTCCGATTCACGGGCAAGCATTTGGGCAGTGTGCTAGATAGCTGCCAGAGGCGAAACTACAGCCTCTGCCGCAGGCTACTCGGGAGGTCGCCCGCTGCCCGCTGCAGAAAACTGTGCGCTTAGCTTTACATCTTCGTGGTGCAGGTTGGCAGACTGCACAACTGCGGCTTAATCTGCGTTGAAGCCACGAAGCCAAAAAAAGTGCAGCTGTCAGACTGCGACGCAAATAGAGGTCACAGGTCGTCCTTTGTTTTGCCAAGCAGACAGGACTTCGAGCGGCGCATAGCAACTGTTCACAACGAAGCTGATGCGAGGCCAGAGATGCCTTGCGAGAGTTTGCGAGCAGAGACACGTTGAATCTGGTTTCGGCAGGTGCTCAGCCTTGCAGGCAGGACTAGTCAACAAGCTGCACTGCATGCGTCGTGTACTTGACAAGGTGCGGGTTCCCCGTCTTTCCTGCAGATCTGTGGCAAGCATTCGGAGTGTTTTGGTGTTCACTATTGCTTCTGCACGAACATTGTTGTGCTCAAAGCGCGAACTTGACTTCAAGCTTAAGTCCATCAAGTATCGCAATTGGAAGACCCCCTGTGTATGTCGCTGCGTTTACTGCTGTAGCTCCGGAAGGGAGGAGATCAAACAGTCTGAACGGGAAGTTGATGCTTCACACTTCTCATGTTTGTAGCACAAAGCTGACGGCAGTCGCCATGGCGAATGGCGGTTCAACAGACTTGCAGGGTCCGCAGGACATCTTGAACATCTCGAGTCAAGTCAATTGAGATCAGCTCGTCCCGAGGTGCCAGTTGGTTCAAGCCGGCAGGTAGGTCGAAATGCTGGTCCGGTCCTACTTCATGATGCTCTTGAGAGACCACACGAGATAAGGAACCGTGAAGTCAGGGACTGGCCTCGTCTTTTCTGCAGCTCAACTGGTCATATCAACTTTGAAATCTAGCTTCCTGCGCAGCATGGATCGGATTGCGCGGAGAAGAATGGAATCCACTCAGCTTGAATATAACCTGCGAAGTGAACTCAGTGCTGACCACGTCACTTCCTTTCTGCATCGTTCTGTCGTGCACTGCACCTGTTGCTGCATGTGATCCATCCGGCCGACTGAGGCCGTCAGTCGCCCTTTGAAAAGAAGAACGCTGCCTTCCGCAGCCCATGAAGGCGTGAATTCCTGTCTTGCTTCGTTCGCACGGAAGCCCAAGGCTGCTGCTGGTGGCCAAGGGTCCTTTTTGTGTTTACTGCGTGTGTGTGTGTGTGTATGTGTGTGTGTGTGTGTGTGTGTTTGTTGTCATGTTGCAGCAAAATGTAAGAAAAGCTCTTCCTCCAACAGCTCCAGCGTGGGCCTGATCTCTGAAAGATCATGTTCGCTCTGTTCACTCCACCAAGGATCACTCTGTTGTAGAGGTGCTCCGCAAAGGGTTCACGAGTTCACAGGCGTCAAGAAAGACCCGAACCGCTGCAAGGCCTTGTTGTGGGCAGCCAGACAAGTCGATTTCCCCAACTGGGTGAAACATCTGCGTTTTGCCGCAACCGCGTGTGAGCGACAATCTATGCAAAGTTGAGCACCTGCGTGGGTCAGCACAAATAGGAAGGGCTAAATTGGCTAAATGGCAAATTTGCTTGAATTCGCAGTCCTTGCAGAAGTGGAGATCCCCTGCTCCTGCATGCAGCGCTATCAAGCCATGTACAATGTATAGTTTAAGTACATAGGAGTACTGACCAGAGATTCTGCCCGTCTCCAAAAGCAAACGAGGCGCCATGGACACGAGCTGGGTAGTTTGGGCATCTTGCGTCCAAGTTCACCTGCTTCAAACACGAGCTTCAAGAACATGACTCGGAACAAGGGGTCATGGTGCGGCCGAGTTTTCATCTTGATGTCGGTTGCTTTCACAGGGCTCTCGCGTCTAGTCTATGCAGTGCTTTGAGATCCTGATGCAGTGCACACTAGAGTCGAATTGTAGTCCAGTCGGTTTTCCCTGCGTCGAGTTGGCCGGGAGTCCTTGATTTTCGCCCGAGTCAGGAATAATCGACGGCCGTGTCTAGCCAGGCCGCCTTTACGGTTTAAGGTTTTGGGTCTAGGATTTGGGGTTTAGGCTTCATGTGTTTCATGTGCATGATGTTGTTGCATTCGGTTCATTAAGAGGCACATATCGCGCAGACATGTGCCACATCTAGACTTACCGCCAGAGGTCTGAGGTATGAGCCGTGATAGCAGGCACATTTTGTACAGGCCTGAGGACTGTTGCTTGGTTATGCTGTGTTGATGAATCGGGCAATCGAAGGCGGTCCCTTCCGCCTAAGTCTTGCCTTGAGTGCCGTATTCACTCCTGCGAGGAGTCGAGCAAGAAGAAGAAGAGGCCTCTGGAGAAGGACGCAAAGGAGAAGTCCAGATCTAAGAAGGCCACATCTTCTCTTGGGCATTGCGTGAGGCAAGGGTGCTGCCCTTTTGCTTGCCAGGACAAGAAGGAACGCAAACATGGCAAGCGCTTGAGGGAGGGCATGGGGCTCGGATCAGGTGGGTGAATTCTGTGAGCCTTCAGTTTCAGTGTAGCGGCGTACCGTTCATCGCAGCGGATGCAATCACTCTGTGAGGCGAGGACCGAGCGAGAGCCCTGATGTAAGTGTAGCCGCAAGGATCCGAGTTTGTGTCAAGAGCTCAGGAGTTCGTTGCGCAGCGTCCCTTCGTCTGCCTCCGAGCTTTAGTTCCACTCCACACGAAAAAGCTTTGCTGTGATGCTTGGACCATCCGAGGCCGGGACACTGGCACAAAGCTGGGTGGCCATGTCCAGAGCAAGCGCCAGTGCAGAGGCTCTGGGACGGCAGATCGCGTCCTCAATGTTGTCACTGTGTTGTTTTCATACTTGTGCAATGACGCGTTTTATTTGGGGCGCCATCATCGATTCATCCTTGCTTCTCACAACAGAGGCCAGGATTCGGATTCCCACGTGTCTAAAGCGGACGGGTGACGGGTGATAATTTAGAGTATCTTAGCATTTTATGTTTCGATTTTCCCTATGCAGTGGAACATACTTCTCTGGGCGGGCTGACCTGCGACCCATTCTCACATTAAGTGCGAGACTCTTGACAAGTCTGTTGGGAAGATGCTGATTTGAGGAGCCTTACTGGCTCGCCTTCGATTTTGAGCCCACGAAAGTCGACCTGCACCGTAGGTATTGTACACGTTTCACTCTCGCTAAGTTGTTCAGGCCAGAATCTAAGTTCGTTTCAGGACAAAGGCATGCGAGCTTCGCATGCATTCCCGAGTTTAGGGTTGAGAGAGGAGGACTGCAGGGGTTTGCGAGATTTGTGGCCCCAACACCTTGTTTCGGTTTTCTCTCCACCAGCTGCATTTCGGGTTTAGGGCTTCTTTCCAAGCAACATCTCTGTTTACGGAGGGGTGCCTACCCACCATTCCATTTGAGTTCGTTTGCTTTATTCAGTGTTCTGAGATCGAGCCGGTCGCGACGCTTCTGCACGAATGTACCAAAATCAGCCAGAAAGGGCCAGAAAAGGCTTGTTCAAACCGGGCTGTGTTGTTGAAACAGTGGGTCCCGGCTTGGACGGTGTGCGAAGAAACCCGCCGAAAACCTGGTCAAATAAACGAGCCGGATGCTGTAAGTCCTCAAGTGTGAACAATGGGACTGTACCAGGCAACAAGCGGTACAAACAATGGGAAGAATTTGGCCTGGAGGTCCTGCGAAGGTATCTGAAGTGCTACGGTTCTGCAACATCTTCAAAAGTTCCATGAGCTTCGATGCAACCATACCCATGGTCCCTCTGCCATCAGCGCTTCGGCAATGGGGCAGAGAAATGCCTGACCGTGGCCTAATGCTGCGCTACAGTCCCGGGCTTCGCAGCAAGTTTGCGCCATCATGCCAGGGTTGCTCACAAGAGGGCCAGAACCACAGCATCAGAAAACAGAAAGCAAAGCACCCTAGAATGTCATGGAGGCATGCCTGGTTGCAAGCAGCAGGTCGAGACGGAGCGGAGATCGTGGCCAATCCGGGAAGTTACACGCAGAAAGCCCATGGCACAGCCTGCATGTGAGGAGCAGCGCAGGATGAAGGACTTGATTGCCAGCCCAGCAGTCATTGAAGGTGTTGGAATGAAGCTTGTGCAGCTGAAGCAACCTTCGCACATCGTCGCGGCCGTTGTGAAGTGCCCCGAAAACACTTTCGGAGTAGCACAAGCATTCCGAGGAGCTCATGCCACAAAGGCGCCGACCAGACAGCTCTACTTGTGTTGATGCTCCTTGACGACCTTAGCGGACAAACGGAAAGCATCGATCAGTCCGAAATTATCCACATGACCTTGGGTGTTTTGACGGAGGACTACTTACATCGTCGATGTCGATCATTTTCCCAGGAAGCTCTTCCTTACCTGGCTACCACGAGCACTGATGCAGCAGAAGTTTCCAGAATCAGACCACGTCAGAGTCCGTGGACAACGTGTTACCTGGCGGGGCTTCGGTGCGGAAATTGGGGCGTAGAAAAGTACTGTCGTGGCTTCTTGGTTCCGGATGCAACGTTTGATCTGACCCGGCCTTCGGGTCCGGATCTGAAGCCCTGGCCTGGGTTAACGGCTAACGATGGTTAACGTGAATCACGGATCGATACGGATCGGGTGAAGAGAAATTTGTGCGCGGACCTGCAGATGTGTATGTCATTCTATGGGTATGTATGGACGGATGTCTGTGCCAGTTAGCCCTGAAACTTCATGTTCCGTCTTTTGAAATACTCACAAGTCTCCAAGCGGACAAATCGCGACAACCTGGTCAAAAATGTAAGGCGTTAAATGCACTGGGCTGGGAAGAGCGGGTCAGCGGGTCTCAGGTGGATTGTCATTTGTGTTTACGCCTGGTACCTTAGCCTTCGCAGAACAGATCGGCTGGTTGTGCATACCAGTGGCTTGAAGCAAATTGGGTCTAGTCATTTCAGACTGCCAGGTGCCCCTCTTCGCAAGTGCAGAGGCAGGGTCTCAGATCCACTGCGTGACGAAGCGGCCATCACGTTCAGCAGTCATTCGATACGCTTTAGTAGCTCTTGGCTCTCCTGGCCGTGGAGGAAGCTTTCCACAGCCTTCCTGCTCGATACGCCAGTTTCAGTGAGGCAGAAGCTGGAGAACATAAGCGAGAGTCATGTGTTTGCTTCGTGTCGCACTCTTGAGGCAAGCCTCCCGGTGGACCGCGCAGAGCGGCATGCAGCTCTGTCGGCGTTGGCGGAAATTGCCACAGGATTCAGCCCCGCAGAGCTGGGCTTCTTCGCACGTTCCCTGGAACTGGCCCTGGTGGAGCGACGGAAGGGACAGGAGGTCACAGCTGGGCCGACCAGGCCGACCCGGGCACGGCCCCTCTTCCCGGACGCACCCATGCCGACACCACCTTCAGCAAGGCCTCCAGCACCGCCGCCGCCTCCGTCTACGATTGGCGCAAGTCCTGCTCCTCCGAAGCCACCAGCACCGCCGCCGCCACCGGTTGCGATTCGCGCAGTTCCTCCAAAGCCACCGACGGTGCCGGAACCGTCGCCGTCGGCTGCACCTTGCGGGGCTCCCGCTGAAGCCAGCCAAAGCCAAAGCAAGGAGCTTGCCAAGTACTCGACTTCAGGGCCCCTGCCGCCCGAGCCGGAACCAAAAGTCCTGGTCCCAGATCCGGAGTCAGAGTCATCTTCAACATCCGAAGATGAGAACTCGAAGCCTGAAGCACGTGCGCTGCAAAAGAAAGCTGACGCAGAAGCTGCGGACAAGGTTTACGAGCTTTGCCGGGTCTGCCTGGCATGTGTGCAGCATTCTGCAAGCTCTGGAAAGCTCTGGGGGCTGTCACAGGCATTGGCGGAGAAGCCTTGTCAAGTCGACGGCAAGCTGCAAGCGGCCAATATCAGGTGCAGTGGTTTGCTCCAGCATGCTTTCATATCGAATTGGAGTGCAGGCAATTTGTCAGAGATCTGTTGGCAGTGGCTTCCCAGCCTCTGCACTGGGAGGAGGCATGTTGCACCGTAGAATCCAGACTGAACTGATCGCTGTTGCCATATACTCGCAGAATCCTTTGCGCAGAAGAGAAGCAGCGCAGGCATGGTCCCGAATGGGAATGCCGGAAAGCCTGCGGTCTGAGGTGAGTGTCTCGAGAGAACGTCCTGCAACTGCATCTTTTGCCCTCTCATGTTTTCAAAAAGTGCAGGCGGGCATTGCCTTCTTGAGCAACTTGCTGGAGTTTGCATCCGGTCCAGTAGGAACTGATCTGGATGATGCAGCCAGCCACTCAGCTATGTAGTGGTGACTGACAGACTGACTTCGGTCTTGGGAAGTCCGCCAATCAACGGCATCAGGCAAGGGTATCTGCCGGAGCCATTGCTGCTCTTTCGAAGGGGCATCGCCTCAAGATGAGCCAGGTGGAGGTCCCAAGCTGTCATGTTTCGCATCTTTCAGCCCGAAGAACTTGCCGCAGGACTTCCTAATCAAACGATTGGACTCCGACTCAAAGGATCCACAGCTCTGGAAAGTCCTGCGGCAGCCCCAGTGTCCTGTGGCACTTCAGAGCTGACAAGGTTCAGTGTGAGAGTATTGGCAAATTGGGTGTCGCATGAGGTCCTGGCTCCTCTTCCATTGGTTTCCTCAAGGGAAGACGGCACTTCTGGCGAGCTTTTCGGAAGCGACCTCTAGTTGGATCTTTTGCTGCGTCTTCACTGCCTACGGTGGGTGCGGCCAGGAATATTTAAGGGCTGCCTCTAACATTAACTAGCACCCCTTCTTTACAAGCCTCGTGCAGACCTTAATGCAACCCTTAACCCGACCTTAAGGCAACCCCATTGCCTCTCCAAGCCGTAAAGCAGTCCTTAATCTAGCCTCTCCAAGCCTTAAAGCAAACAATAACCTAGCCTCTCCAAGCCGTCAAGCAACCCTTGACTTAGCCTTCTCCAAGCCTTAACGCAGCCCTTAACTTAGCCTTCTCCGAGCTATCTGTGGCTCCCCCAAGGCCCGGATAAGGCAACCCCGGCCCTCCGTAGCGCAACAATTAGCTCCCTAGCAAAGGGTATGAACTCCCGAGCTAAGGGTTGCGTTGTCCTGGCCGGGAAGGGCCCGGGAAGGGCCCGGGTAGTCACCAAAGCCTTGCCTGATGAAACCCACAAGGGTTGCGACAAAGTGTCCGTAAAGGTTGCATTAAGGTGTCCTTACGGGTTGCGCTTCGGCGCTACGGGTCCTTAAGGGTTGCTTCATGGTGCCCTTAAGCATTGCACTTGACCCTGTAAAAAGCTAATGTTAGAGGAAGCCCATAAAGCAATATGATATGCCCCGCATCAGTAAGTAACCTCTGCTTTTGAAACAGTTTGCACCCAGGCATACAGGGATACGCAAAGGTTCGTGAAACCACCGGCTCCTTCTGTGCCGCATGTGCAGGCATAAAAACCGCAACAAAAAGCAGGTTACACTGGCACTTCGATCAAAATGCCTTATGAACTGAGGTATCTAATGTCATGCGTCGGGCATGATCACTCCGTACTGGCGTCACATAATCCGTGGCATCTAGGATTCTAGGAGCCTCCAGTGGCAGGCAGGGTGGGGCTGGTGGCGTGTGGGTTGGTCATGGTCTCAATGGTGCGAAGCCTGGTGCAGCTGAGCAGAGAGTCTGATGCAGACACGTGCCGCCGTGCCGCCGTTTTTCAGGTGGAAAGTCGTGGATCGCCTTCTCTGCCGGGCAGCTGAGACTGGCCATGGCGAAGAGGCGTTCGGCATGCTCAGAGCAAGCCTCTGCCGAATGCAGGCCAGGCGGCCAGAGACTTGGGAATCCTGGTAGTAGTGGCCTCTTTCTTCACGGGATGGTATGTCAATGCAGGTGCAGCCACGCTGCAAGAAAATGTTCTTGAAACCGCCGGATCCTGAGTTCTTAACCAGAAGAGTATATCCCTGAAGTGTGTTGACGAAGAGAGCATCAGACACGGAACCCGTCGCTGTCAGCCGCAGTCTTATCATCAATCTGAAAATCCGTATAACGAAGCGAGGTTAGTGGCCCCAAGTCGTAGTAAGAAGCCTGTGATTTATACATGGGTTGGCCATAGCAGGATGTTGAGAGGCAAGGCTTGAGGGTAGCATTTAGGGTTTGGGGTATAAGCCATTACAGCGTTGACAACATGAGCAACATGGTCAATGTTAGCTAAGGGCATCAGGGGATCAGCAAGCTATGAATCTACGAACATTAACAAGAGCGGCTTTGAGACCGGCATTTCATTCACACGCAGCGGGGGAGGACTGTCTGTGGTGAAACTTTTCGTCCACGCTTTGCGAGGGATCGACCTAGTGCCCTGCTTACTACTTGCGCGGTCACTCTTCACGGCAAGCCGTGCCTCAGCGCTGCACTTGCACACGCTCCGCCCCTCAGGGCTGCAAGCTGTGAAGTGGGAAGTGAATGTGTCTTCAGAGTCTTATGCGAGTTAAGATTTCGGCACTAGCTGAAAGCTAACCGGCTTGGTTGCAATGTTTCTCTGGCTGATTGGCAGCAGATCATTTTGCACTCAGCTGCTGTCGCGGGGAGTACTCTAGACTCGCTGTGAAGGCTCAGTGCGAACCACAAGCTCTATGTTGAAGAAGAGGCGATGAGGCAATGATATGCTCAGTAGAGGTATGCCAGGCGTCGTCTCCAACTCGTTGTTGGTGTTCGCTGATGGCGGAGTAACTCCTGCCGGGCCAGTGCTCGTGACATAAAGTTCTCCAGTTCCCGGATGGGAGATCGTGGAGGTCACAGCTTTTGGTGGGGGTCCCAGGGGAGGGACTCCTCCTGGGATTCCACCTTTTACTGGCACTCCAGATGCATTACCTGGGCCTCCTGGTGCCCGATCCGTGCTGGATCCACTTCCCGACAGATTGACAGGCACCGGCGGCGGCGGGCCCTTCGGTACATCAGCCTTGGGTGCCACTGCTTCGTCTGAGTCTGACTCCCGGATAGCATCACTGGATGGCGGCGACCTGGGTAGGTGAGGACGACGCCTCACTGGTGGAGGGGTGCGAGAGTTCGCTCTGGTGCCACTCTTCTTCGGAGTTTCGGGCATGGCTAATGGAATCAAGACAGCTGGTGAGTTGAGCCTGTGTGAGATACATGCATAAGTTGCTTTTTTGTGACCCTTTGGCTGGCAGTTCACTTGCAAAGACTGGGCCCGAGGCTCTGCATCGAATTGTGGGTCTGACCTCGGGATACTTGGTTGCTGGCAGTTGATGCATGCTGAGTTAACCCTTTACCTAGACTCCGATTTATTGTCTGAGCGGCTGCAAAGTCTGCTTGGGGAGCGACTCCACCATTTGGCGGGGCTCTCTTTCTGGTGTCAGAGCGGCCTATTGTCGCCTCCGTACTTAGTGCCTGATTTCAGACTCTGATAGTACTCTATGACAGAAGGAGGCACTTCAGTTGGGGTGAGAATCACGCCGTTCTTGCTACGGAAAAACTTCACCCCTGCCTGTGAGGCCTTGCGTGGGTTTACTGCCACCAACATGGACGAGCTTTCTCTGAAGCCGGAGACGCCTGGTTTCCCATAGTCGCTGTCCGCCACGAAATGAATATGCTGCCGTCCCTCCCTGCCACGTCCTCCTTTGCCGCGGCCCTTGGAGATCTTGTTTTGTGGCAGAAGGCCTTGTTGACGTATTGGGTCGTACAAGGACCAGTAGGTGCCGTGGTAGAGCATTCCGGGGAGCATCTCCTCCGTGAGTTCCTCTAACACCTCTGTCGAGTTCACGTCCGAGCGAGAATGTCCTTGCAGCGCCCTGATGTACTTCTTGCCTTGGCAGTCTCCGAACTCGTACCGGCCTTTGGTGTTACGACGAACAATCTCCATGAGGTCGCCTGCCGTGGCGTTCTGGTTCTGCACTCGTGGCCATGAAACCACGTCCTCTAGCTTGGCCCAGCCTTGATGTACGGTCTGTGTCCGTGTCTGAGGCATGCTGCCAGCGCTTTGGATACTTCGAACGAGAAGCGGGTCTCTGGATTCATGGAGGCTGTGCAATATTCACCTAGGTCGCCTGGTTCACCCTCCCATGCCACAATAGAGGAGCTCCTTGGTGTGGCTGAGCTATAGTCAGTGATCTCTACGATCTCAGTCGGGGGAGGAACTCCACCCTTTGACCCTGACGCTGGCTCTGGAGCTGGAAGGGGAGGAACTCCTCCTTCCTTTCCTCGATCTGACGAGGCCGCTTCACTTGGCAAATCATATCCCAGAGCTGTGAAGGAGTCACGAGCCTGTCGAAGCGGAATCTCAAGCATTCCGCTCCACTCGCGGAGATAATCGCCTAAGGAGAGAGTCTCCTTTGTTGAGATTTGGAGCAGCAGCGCTCGGATTTTCACTGCATCAAAGGGGTATATTAGTTGATTTGTTTTCTTGCCACGTTTTTGCGATTATGTGGCGAGGTCCTATCCTCACCAGGCAACTGTATCCGGCCGCGAGATGCCTGTTTGAAAGCTTGTGGAGATACACTCCTGGACGGTCCTCGAAGCTTCTTGTGCCTGAGAGATCCGGCGTCGAAGGTAGAAGTCTTCCTGTGGCTAGTGTCCCATGCAAACATTCCAGGTGTGTACCGTGGAACGCAACCCCGCTGTCTCCGGCAGGAAGTATGTTAGGAGAAGAGTACTCAAATCTAAACCATCCATTCTCCTCCGCTGTTGGGAAACCAAGCTTCGACTGCAGGGATTCATTGGCCAGGCCCCGGCGGGAAGCTAAGAAGGTCTCGAGAAGGGCATTGGCGATCTCAGGGGTCGGTCTCTCCGCCTGATCGAGGCCATCTCGGAGTTGCTGGGTCACTGTCACCATGATTCTGTGGTTGTTCAGGTCGGTGATGGAGCCGGCGCAGTCTGTGATCAGACTGGGAAAAGGAGTATACCCCGCACACTGAAGTACTTTGAGGGCCGCTTCAGTTCGTTCATCGGTGGCCTGTTGTGAAGAGAGGTCCCCTGAGGGAGGATCTCCACTCTTGGCCTTTGCTGCAGGGGGAGTATCTCCACCCTCGCTTTGCCCAGTGCTTCTCTTTTTGGAAGGAGGAGGAGGGGGAGTGACTCCACCCTTTCCACTTCCCGGCTCTTCCGATCCACCAGTGCCTTTTGAGGCACCTTTATGTGCTGGATAACTTTCGCCGTGAGCACGAGCAGAGCGCCTCCACTGGCGCAAGAAATTTCTATATGTGACATGCGGAAGTTGATCACGTATCCTTCGCTGGCAGAAATCCGCATACTCATCCTGAAACGAGGGATCTTGAGTTGACTCTGGTCGTGACATGTTGCTGGCTTTTGAGAGAAACCTGCGATGTGTTGTCACAAGCTGAATTTCAGGCACTTGACAGGTGATTAGCCATCCGAGCACCAGGCCACCACGAAGAGGGACCTGCATCAGTGGAGGCGTTTTGCTAAAGACGCCGAGTTGCACTTGGCAGATGATGGGACATTTTTGAGTCTGCACTCCTCAGAGCTGTTAAAAGCCCCTGGGGAGAACCTCCACCAGCTGTACATCCCTCATTGGGGGAGAAACTCCACCAAGACGAGGGGAGAAGCTCCACCTGATGCTCTCCTACTGTTTAAAAAACCCCTGGGGAGAAACTCTTCCAGCTATACACACATGGCGAGTGGAGAAACTCCTCCGATTGTTGGGGAGTGTCTCCTCCTAAGGGAGCATCTCCACAAGGCATCTGGCTCAGGAAGAGGCTGCCATGAGACGATTGTACGACACATCCCACGTCGATGTAGCCCCAAATTCAATTTGCGATCTTCGGCGAAGAACGTGGCCCTCAGAGCCTCCACCTCCTCCAGGTAGACTGTTCTGGTGTCGACCGGTAAGAATTTACTCACGTGTGAGACTATGTGAGTCTCTCTCTCCAGAGAGTCGAGGTCGAATCTGTGGAGGGAGATGCTTTCTGGGGCCACCAGTTCCCCAGAGTTGATGCGAGCCAGGGTGAGATATTCTAAGCCCTGCTCGGTCAGGACTTTTCGCCGTCGGTACCTGATCTGCCCCCACTCGTCAATGCCGGAGATGACATGGAAGTGCTTGATCACCTGCCGGACCCCACTTTCCGGGAGTAACTCCACGGAAAGATTTAGGATCTCATCCTTAGTGATAAGCCCAAGCGCCTTCACTCTCTCTCGCAGCTCTGTGAGCACCGCCCAGGGGAGTATCTCCAAACCTTGGGACTTCTGGTGCAGATAGTGGACGGCTGCTATCGTCGGAAGCAACATCATAGCCAAGTGAGTCGGCGTCTGGTCGTACATGTTGGGAGAAAGAGGGAATGCACTGCCGAACCTGAAAGTTTCTGAGCCTGAACGCTTTATCCAACAGAGGAACGTCTGTGATGCTCTACCAGAGGTCCCTGCATCATGCAGAGTGTTCCGCGGGAGGGCCTCCTCGCAGCTCGTCGAAAGATGCCACAGGCTCCTCGCGATTGTGCACTGGGTGGGAGTAGCTCCTCTTCTAAGGGGGTTACTTTTCGATTTAGCTCTTAGCACCAGGCCGGCCCGCTCGTGGGGCAAGTCCGATCAGTGATCTATTCCTCGGGAAGAGATCAGGAGAGCAAATCGCGAATTTGGCGAACTAGCGGCGAGGGCTGAGTTCCCATTCGCTGAAAATCTGCATTTATGAGCGAAAAGGCGGTATTACCGACTAGGGACTGCAAGGTGTCCTGCAAATCAGATGTGGCCGCCCTGGTTGACAGCTGGATCTGGATTCGGACTGGACCTCCCGTCATGCTCTCCGCCAGTGGCCGCGAAGTTTTGAAGAGCTTGATGTGTTCCGGATCGGAGGAGATTCGGGTGATTGCGTCCCCCAGTCCTGAAACAACTTGAGCCGTAGTGAGAGGATCTTCCACCGACTCTGTCATCTTCTGATCGGTGGAGCTCCACTCCAGGA